CACGACGCTCTTCCGATCTCCCCAAAACCCCAAAACCCCTGTATAATAAGTCTTGATAAAATTCGAGAAATCAAATTATATAGGTTAATTATTAATTTAAGTGTGAAAATGAGTTACAATTTGAGTGATCCAATTAAGATTGTGCTACCGTAAAATAATCACTATACTTCAATGTATTTAATTTTGTCTAATTGGAATTCATAGGAACTAGTCAGCAGTTATTTTAAATAGGAATAATTAGCATTAATAACCAAAATTTGTTGCGAATAGAGAATTTCAAAGCCCAAATTAATAAATTGACATAATTAACTAGAATTTCGATAAGCGAAACTCAATAGATATAAATTGAACTCTCCTTAATGCCAAAGTAGAACCGTCAAATAGATCCAAGTCTTTAAATCCACGCTATATATCCAACCTTTAATAGTATAATTTAGGAATCCCTAATCTTGTCCTAGATAAAGCAGGTTACGGTCTTTAAAGACATTAAAGCTTAGATCATGGAAATATAAATAATACAGCGACTATTTTGAGTAAGAGTTAGCCGATGGGCATAGATAGAACTTTTTAAAAAGCTAAGGATGCCTTGAATAATTTGGAAAATTTAGATAAAAGCATTTTAAATTAGTATTAGATGTACAAGTAATAGGCGGACCATCAATAAATGATGTAGCTTATTCATTAGCAATAAATTCAACAGTATTATTAGTAACAATAATAATAGCAATAAGCTTATTAATAACAACAGAGATAAAAATATAGTCTTGAAGAATAGCATAAGCACGATTAAGAGCTGATTAAAAAATAAGCAGACTTAGAACTTAGGAAAATAAAAGAACTAATAGGTGATATAAGAAATTAAAAGCATGATTAAAATTAGTGACTTTAGAAGATTGAATAAGACAAATCTTTTCTTTAAAATGTATTGACCAAAGTGACTGAAAAAGACAAGAAGAGTGAACAAATATTGATGAAAGTAGAAATAGAAAGAGAAAATTTGAAAAATTTACATAAGTTTATTGATATTGAGGAGGATAAAGCAAAAATTAGCGCAGCACCAAGAAATTATAATGGTCATGAGAATCCATATATTGATAGTATACTTATTTAAAAAAGAGAAATTTCTCTAGGACAGCAATAATGAAATCCTTAATAATTAATTCAACATGGATTTAATCTTAGATAATCTGTGACTAATAGAAACTCTAGTTAAAATCAATTTAAGTAGATATTGAGTACAGCTGATGCAGATCAGGGGTTCTTTAACCTAAAAACTTAAAGTAATTATTTCTTCAAATAATCAATGATCAATTCTTATTTATATAGAATGTGTAGATTGTAATATGAGCATAGCAAATAAGAAGGATAGAGATTTATCATATGATGCAAATGAAGATTTACCTGTATTTAAAGTCAATAGTGTGTTGGATTGGTTAGAATACAGAAAGCATTAAACAGTAGAGCATCAAAAGTTGATTAAGCTTAAGCAGTAAAGTGCTATTAATAAGCTAGAGGAGCTAAAAAAGGAACAAGAGAAAGAAGATAATGATTGGGCAACATCAAAGATAAAGAAATTAAATAAACTTATTAAATACTGAATAAAAAAGAAGAGGATATTTAAATATATATTAAGTGATGGGAATAATGATTTTATTGAATATTTTAGATGATATTACAAAAATATTGATAATTCAAACAGGACTATGGGGTTTTGGGGTTTTTCAAAATAATTTGGTTATTCTTGAGACAATAGTGAAATTATT